GGGGGGGGATGAGGGAGATGGGTAAAGGTTTCCCAGTTCACGCTCCCTAACTACCTTCTTTTCCAATCAAAGGAGAAGTTTCCACACCCCATACTCTAGATAACAACCTCTGTGAAAAGCAATTACAACAACGTCTAACACAGTTCAAAGATAATCTTCACTGAGTTTCGTAATAGCAAAAGAAGCTCACAGGTTTATGACCAGACATAATCATTCAGCATATAGTATTTGCAACCTCTGCTGGTCGCTGCATTCTTTCGATTATTACAGGTTCAAGATGAATAGAAGGAAGAGATTACAGCTTGTTAGTTTATGGTTTGAACTTTGAAGTAGAGAGAATTTTTGGTAGATTGATTAAACTACAAGTCCTTTAGTGTTCACTTAGTGCTATTGCTATATCAATAAATTCATTATTACTTAATAAGAAAGATACGTGGGTGTACCAACAACATACCCAATGTAGTTCCACAAGTGGGGTCTGTTGTGGGTGTCCCGACAGAATTCTGAAAATGTCTTTAGCCAATGATCTTCAAGTAGCTAGAGATTTACTAAAATATGGAGCTCATAACTAAAATGCAGGGACTCAAGTGTTATTAAGTTGTATTGTGCAACTAGTTTCCTATAACGTTGTTATGTAACTGACTATAAACATACATGTCTGGAAAGTAATTCTAGTTTAAAAGTAGAAGCATCAAATGTATTAAATACCCATATAAACTTAGATCAGACTTTCCAACAAACAGAACTATCGAACTACCTTTGGCTCTGAAACTGACAAAAGCTGGAAAGTAAAATTAGCAGCTTATCTCCCACTAATGCATTCTATGCAAGGAGTTAGAGGATACAATAATTCCACGAGTTGACATAAGATTGCTTGGGGGTAGCAGCAACTAATTACTGAGTAAATTTTAAATGCGATGACCTGCATAGGAGGTGATAGCAGATTGCTTAAGATGGAATATAGCAAAGAAATTTCATTTTATACTTTTACTTGGATATAATCCTAGACAGTCTAAGTAAATTGGATGTTTGGACTACACTATCAATAATGATGACTCAGAGTAGCAGGAGTTTAAAGTGTATATATTTGAGGAGCTGTTTAACTTGACCGGAAAGGAAAAGCACACAAAGAGAATCACAGATATGTATCTTAAAATATTTCACTAGCTTCAGGAGAAATTAGATTAACTTTATACGGGATGCAAGAGAAAAATTGAATATAGGTGCAACTAGTATGATATACATTAAAATCATCAAACATCTATCAGAAACATTGATGTGAATCTCTACACATGTTCACATTAAAATTGGCAGTGAGACATTAGGGGTTTCCTTGCTCCAGTATACAAGTTGGGAGAGTATCAGTAATCATACAATTGAAGAAAGAGGGGAAAAGGAATATGAACCTCAGTATGAACTACCATCAAAAACTTCTCGCTACTGATCTTCAGTTGCCGAGTGTAGCACCAGGAAAAGAATCCCATGAAATAAAAAAAAGCTCTAGCAATTACAAAACTAATCCTATTATCCTGTTCTTAGCTCCATTACAGCTTCTGATTAGATTCTATAAGCAATCCATTTAGCATTACATGAACTGCAGCTTCATATACAATGCCGTGATAATGCATTCCATCAGTAGTACAACGAGCTCCACAACTATTACTCAACGCATGAATGTCCAGCAACAAAAGGGACCCACCAGATTGTCGCAGCAGCTTACTGCCATAAAGCTCATCCGTATAAGCTTGCCACATCACATCAGTCATATTCTCTCGCTTCTCATCTGTATTCAACATCGAGTTTATCAGCTTTGGCATTCCCAGCCAAAAGAAGTTGGGTGACCGAATCGAAACTAAATTCGTGCCAGCTCCATCATTATCAAAATCTGAAGGTACTGGTAACAGCAATACAACCAAATCCCGCAACAACTTTAGGGAAACACCATAATCAGTTGCATTATTTACATGTAACATATCCCATAGCCCTACCCCAATCACAAATACATCAGGATAACTATGTTTTTCTTCAAATCCCACAACCAAATCAGTCAAGTTACTCACATAAGGTGCCCAAATAAATTCCAACTTCATCCCAATCTCATCAATAAACGCGTTATAATCACTATGCCTCTTGAACAAATCCCCTCTAATCACCTCCATTTCATTTTCCCCCAATAACAGCTCCAACAAAGAAACTACAAATAACCTTGCTTGTGAATCCCCAGCAACAACAACCCATGACCCATTAAGCAAATCTGAAGTATCAGACTTGGTCAACTTCTGGAAATCACATTGAACAACAGGTTCAGAGCCAACCCACTTCCAAGAATTGGTATTTTCCACACTAGTATTCTCATTATTATTATTCAATTCTTGAAAATCAAATGATACTTGGTGAAGTAAAGAAATGCAAGAATCAACACTTACAATTGATGATGATGATGATGATGAGGGTACTGAACCTGGTGAATAAAGCATAGAGGAGACTAAAGGGAAATAAGGGGTCAAATGAACACAAACAGCAAGGGTAATAAAGAGGGCACAACTGAAAAATAACATTTTGTTACGGCTCAAGTGCCAACCTGCCATACCTATAGGGACAAAGAGTACAAGAAAGGCTGCCAATATTCCCAATTGGACAGCCCCCCACATTATTCTTCTCTGATTTCTGACTATTAAATCATTCCTATTTTGCAGCAAAATTATGACAAAGAAACAAAAAATCGAGCTTTGACAGCATATTTCAATAACTGGAAAATTTGGATCCAATCGAAGAAGAAAGAGTATTGGTTTGGTATTCTTGGGGAAGAAATTGAATAAATGTGAGGTAGTCGAGATGGTAAGAATTGTGGATGAAGGAAAGGAAAGAGGTGATAGGCTGATAGCTATAGTGCAACTGCGTGAGAAAGAGGAAAAAGAACAGTTTCCAAATGCGGAAATTGAAAGAGGAAAGGAGGAAATAACAAAACACGCTTGTGCACCCACAAAAGGAAATAATACTGTACTCTTTTTTTTTTTTTTGGAGTGTCTATATAGGGTTAGGAGTCGGGGTGGGGTTTTTAAATATACCTTAGGCTGTTGTGTTAAATACTTATTCAATAGATTTTTTTTTTTTGGTTTTCACCCCGGTGTCCGGTACCCACACTGAAGCCACCCACACCGAAGCCCGACTATATTCGGATTATTCAATAGATTATGTACCAGCGGAAAGTCTTTTCTCAACTTCAGATTATTTTGGATGTTTATTAATTCAATTTTTCTTGATTCATCAAGCATGTGCTTTATATTTATCAAGCTCGTAAATTTACAAGTAACTCTAAAATCATTGTTAATTGCTTCAATACAAATAAAAAAGCCCCTAAAATTACTCATACCTAAACTCATTGTGGCATAGAAATACAATAGTTTTTAATAGAAAACTTTTTTTCTCTCCTATAAATCTTCTCTGCACGAGCTTTTGTAAACCCGAAAACAGACTCCAATTGTATATGTTATTCATTATGCTGGTTCAAATCAAAGAGAATAGTGAGGAAGCCATAATATTCATAAACAGGCGATTAAGTCTAGCTGTTAATTAGCAAAATGGTAATTTAATTTGCATGCCATATCCTCATGCATAAGGCGGCTAAATAAATTATTTGTATTCTCAACAACAACAACAACCCAGTGAGATCCCACAGGTGAGGTCTGGGGAGGGTAGTGTGTACGCAGACCTTACCCCTACTCCGGAGGAGTAGAGAAAATTATTTGTATTCTCAAGGATGGGAATATAAAAATCTTTGAAATGCCGGGAAATTAAAGCGTCATGGCGCTGGTAAATGGTAATATAGACAAGCTACCATTATATACATCACACCACCAGATGATGTGGTGCAGCTGATGGGGCTGCTCTTCCCTTAACCAGAGGTCTCGAGTTCGAGCCTTGGGTATGGAAAAATCCTTGGTAAGGAGCGCTTCCCCCCGAATGGGGCCCTACGCGGCGCGAATCCGGATATAGTCGGGCTCCATTGTTGATACCGGACACCGGGTGAGAAAAAAAAAAAAAAGCATAATATACATGACAGCTCATGTAACCAACAGACAAATGACGAGATTTTCAAAGCCTTTATTCGAAGTTCAGCCCAATTAGATTTACTTTTGGAACTTCAAATTCTTGCATTTATATAAAGCCCAGCATGTGCCCAGTTCCCATCATCAGCAAACAGAGAAAAGAAATTTAAAAGAAGGAAAAACATTAGAAGAGTGCATTAAGTAAAGATGTCATCAAAAGATGATTTACGTCTATTGGATTTCTGGGCAAGCTCATTTTGCATGAGGGTTAAAATTGCTCTAGCTGAGAAAGGTTTGACCTATGAATCTCTAGAAGAAGATTTATTTGGAGGCAAAAGTGAGTTTCTTCTCAAATCCAACCCCATTTATGCAGAGGCGGATCCAGGATTTCAAGAAGATGGGTGTACTGTTGTAAAGAGGTGCATCTAAAGTTTACATTTGACGGATTTAACTTTAGTCTCTTACTATGTGCCTACTACAGTTTTGAAGTTATAGGTTAAAAATGATATTCTTTTTGAAATTTTAGTAATTTTCACATATATTTATACTCCACTACTAGAAATACGGAAAAAATCGAACAAATTTTTCTGACCAACGTTGGTCGGTCAAAAATAGCGACCAAAAACCGTCCAGCTTGGACGGAAACTGGGAAAAAAATATTTTACATTTATTTAAAAAAAAATACCGACCAAAGTTGGTCGGTAAGTTGGTCAACAAGTCTGACCAACAAATTGACCGAGCTGGTCAGACTTGCTTAGTCAAAGAAACTTTCACATTACCAACCAACTTTGGTCGGTAACGTGGACCCAATTTTTAAAATTTTAATAGTTATATTATTATTTAAAATATTTTATAAAATTTAAAGAAATTTTATTTAAGTTTATCGACCAACATTGGTCTGTTAATGCAGGGGAAGCATTTACCGACCAACTTTGGTCGGTATATTTTAATTCTTGGAAAATAACCGACCAAATTTACAAATAGATATATTTGATGATAAATTATATATACTAAATAAATATATCCTTAATTTGTTGTTGTTGTTGTTGTTGTTGTTGTTGTTGTTGTTGTTGTTATTCTATTGTTGCTGTTGTGGTGTTGTTGTTCGGCTGTTGCTGTTGTATTGATATATGCTGGCAGGTGGTGTAGCTACCAAAACAAGCATTTTCTGCCAAAATTATACCCAAAAAACCGACCAAAGTTGGTCGGTATTCATTAAAAAAAATTGTGAAGAACCGACCAAAGTTGGTCAGTTAACGAACAAGGAATTCCCAAAATTGAACATTACCGACCAACTTTGGTGGGTATTGTTAAATTTTAATTTTTTTTAAAAAAAATATATTTTCTTTTACCGACCAACGTTGGTCGGTAACTTTTTAAATTTAATAATAAATAAAAAATATAAATCAAATACACCGATCAACTTTGATCGGTAAAATTAAATTGATAAAATATGTTTCCGACCAAAGTTGGTCGGTAAGTCATTAAAATTCTTCAGATGGTCGTTTTAGTATACCGACCAGCTTTGGTCGGTATGGTCGGTATATTAAACCGACCATCAAAATAACGACCAAGCGTGTTTGGCCGCGTTTTGGTAGGTAATTGGCCATAACCGATCAAAGTTGGTCGATTTTTTTCTTCGGTAATTACCAAATTTCTAGTAGTGCTCCATGCCAAAAATAAGACCGTTCAGAGTGGAATTTGAACCGCTAATTTCACTTGTTGAGGTGCACCTTACAATAATTACACCTTAGGAGTCTTTGAGAATGGATGCACACATATATATTTAAGTAATTTTGAAGAAATATACTATTATTATACATGGTTTAAAGAGAGGAGTATGGGTTCACGCCCCTCAAGCTAGATACGCTTCTGCTTTATGAGAAAGTTCCAGTTTTCTTGGAAAATAGCAAACCAGTTTTAGAGTCCACAAACATTGTGTATTATATTGATGAGAAGTATCCTCCCCCCTAATCCTTTGCTGCCTTCTTGCGCTTATGGCCGTTCCCGTGCACGTTTTTGGGCTGACTTCATCGACAAAAAGGTTGAATTTTCTTACCTTAAGGACCTAATAATCTTGCTTTGGGCTGCACCTTTTTATTATTATATAACAGTACAAACAATTTTTACATTATCAATCTATTTAATGCTATAGCTAGCAAGAAAAGATGCTTTATTTCTCAGGTTATCAATCCCCCCTGTAGTTATCTTCTAAATATATGATTGTGTATAATTTTAATTTGTTGCAGTGTATATATAGATTATATTAAACTCCAATGTAGCTTTTTTGCAGTGAGTATAGCTAGGTCATCCACCCATTACCTTTGACTCAAACTTTATATAAATACTAGTTGAAAAGTTTTATTGAAAAATATATCTATATATATAAGTGTACGCCAATTGTCACAAAATAGTAATTGGTGCAATATTGTGATAGTTCAGACGTACTTGGACAAAATTTTAGAGCCATTATCTCTTGCTATTATATGGTCATAAACAGTAAGGATGTTAATTTGTTACTGTAGTATATATTATATGTTTTGGTAAAAAAAAAAAGCATTTAATACACCATAACATTCTATACATATGTTATGTTTGTTTTAATAACTTTGTTCTACATGTTTGATGTGCAGTTATTTGAAGCTGGGATGCGTATATGGAAGAGCAAAGGGGAAGAAGTGGGCGTTGCAAAGAAGGATTTCATAGAAATGTTGAAGAAGCTTGAGGGAGGTATGGTTGACAAGGATTACTTGGGAGGAGACAACTTTGAGTACGTTGATGTCATAGCCATTACCATGACATCTTGGTTCCACGCTTACGAGGTATTCGGGGGTTTTAAGGTTGAAGAAGAGTGCCCTAAATTTGCCTGCTGGATAAAGAGATGCCTTTAAGAGGGAGAGTGTTTCCAGTGTTCTTCTAGATCCTGAAAAGGTTTACCAGTGTGTTGTCATGCTCAGGAAGATGCATGGCATTGGATAGTGTAGCTTGCAATTGTTTGACCAAAAAGCGTACTTTCGGTTAAAACGATTATATTTATATAATGATGGGTTAAACCTAGTTAATAATAATATTGTTAGAGGTGAGTTCTGAAATGCGGTTAATGTTAAATAGATCTGGTGGGGGAGTGACAATAACATGCATAAGGTATGAGCAATGGAGAAGTATTTAGTAATAAATGAAATAAATGACATTTAAGTAAATAGAAGAAATGGTTCACCCAATAAAGAATGAACTAGATGGTTGTTCCTCCTGACAATGATGAATATGCCACATAGATCTTAGAATGTTCGAACTATTCTCAGATTTGATGGAAAAGTGTAGAATAATATGAACAAGAATCTTGATGAAAAGGTAATGTTTGTATCTTTACAAGAGAGATAGAGAATCTTTATCAAAAAGTCTATTCTTATCAAGTGTGTGTCACCTACCTCTCTCAATTATCTTTTTTCCTATTTATACGAGATATACCCCCAACAAAATCTAATAGTACAAGGGCAGAGAATATCCAATAGAATATTCTCTTTAGTATCCTATTCTAAAAACTAACCGTTACAACTCTTTCTGTGGTGCTCGACCTCGACCATTGTTGACACCTTGACCACGAGCCTCGTTGTTTCCTGGTCGACCTCGACTGACTCTTTCCTCGATGTTACCTTGCCAAATAAAATCACACTCATTCTGAATCTTCGGATTCTAGTGTTTGGATTATATCTGACTCTGAGGTGCTAAATTAATCCTGCTTGTTTTTATTTTTGGCCTTTATTTTTATTTTTACTTTCTTTTTTCCTTTTTGATTTGGGCTTCAAGTGTCTGCCTCTTTCTGAGAAACAGAGATAAGTTGTCACGACCTAATTTCACCTATAAGCTGTGATGGCGCCCAACGTCGCCGCTAGGCAAGCCAACGGTGGACTAACCATATGATTGCTATTTTTAATAAGTTTCCAAGTAA